CTGTCTTGATCTCCCTGTATCACGCCTCCTGCCCCACTCCAGCCATTCCCTAATCCCTGTACTATGCTTTATTTTTCTTCACCGTATTTAGGATATCTATATGCTTTTATTATTATTGCCTTTGTTTTGGCTTAGAGTGTGACAGAGTATAGAAAGTGCTACCTCCAAATATGGCATTTGGGCATACTGAATGTTTAAAGTTGAAAGAAATTAAGAAAACCACAGAAGCAGAAAGGTCCCTGTGTCTTTGTCATTCTCTTTCTCTGGCCTTCTTCTGCCTTTCTCCCCTTGAAGCCATGAAAGGAATTCTCTGACCTAAAAGTAGATCATAAGACCCTCATGTGACAGTTGTCTTCCCTAGACATGGAGGAAAGGAATGGACACACAGAGACACAAAGAAAAATCTGAACAAACAGGAGTTACTAAGTTCCCCTCAGTACTATTAGATTATACCTGCTTTTTGTGCACTCATCCTTCTGCATGACTATCCATTCTTTATCAAACCTAAGCATAAAATAGACAGTTTTCCCTGGTTCCTTGAGTCTTCATTTCTGAAGGCACCTGTGTTCCATAAAATTTTGATTACATAAATTTGTTAAGCTTTTCTCTTATTAATCTGTCGTTTGTTATAGGGATGTCAGCTATGAACCTTGTGATGGGAGGAAAATATGTTACTTTTTTCTCCCTTACAAGTGTATGCCCCTGATTGAGAAGATTTTACGCACCATTGTATCCCTAGCACCGAGAACCAGTGCCTAGCACATAGCTTGTATTCAAATATTTACTGGACAAAAAAGAAAATGACTGCAGCAAAAAGGGTATGAGGGAGGGAAGGAGTTGGATATGGATCCTGTGGTATTTTATGTTCCAGGAAAGGGAATAGAAACTTATTAGTCAGTGGGTAACCATTGAAGGAGGTGAATTGGGGAGTAGAGGCAAAAGCATTTAGTTTATGAAGATTAATTTGATAATAAGATGTGGGATGGATTTTTTTTTAAGTCACATCAACTCACCACCCCTTCCCAATCCAGCCACTCTGCCACACAGCTGGAGAAATGTTTGTGCATTTTAAAAAAATAACTTTTAATCTTGAAATAGTTTGACTCACGAGAAATTGCTAAATAGTACAGTAAATGTTCTTTCTGTACTTTTCCCCCAGTGTCCCCAGTGACATCTTACATTACTGTCAAATACCGGAAAATGACCTCATTACTATACTGTTAACTCAGGTACAGACCTTAGATGGATTTCATCAGATTTTACCTGCACCTATTTGGGGGAATGTACAGTTCCATAAAATTTTAATGTGTAGATATATGTTATTTACCATTTCTGGGTCTGACCTTCTCTAATACCACTCTCCTGGTTCTTGGGCTCCCATCATTTACATATGAATAAAGTGAATGACCTGTTGTTTTATTTTATGTTCTTCTGCATTGTGTTCCATGTTGGTAGATAGCCTTTCCTTTCTACACCAGAGATGCTTTTAAATTTTTACTCCACCAGGATTGACAAATCATATAGCAGATGTCCCTCAATATAGGTGGAGGATTGGTTCCAGGACCACCCCCCCCCACACACACACATGCACGCATGCAGACACACAGATATACACACTGTACCAAAATCTGCATATACTTAGCCTTGTAGAGCTCAAGTATATGAAAAGTCAGCCCTCTGCTTACACAGATTTCACATACTGGGAATACTGTATTTTCTATTTGCATTTGTTTGAAAAACATCCACCTATAAGTGAACACATATAGTTCAAACCCATGTTGTTCAAGGACCGACTAAAATCCCCATTACCTATATATGGCATTTCTACCCATGTTTTCCCTCCCCAACTCCCTACACCACCACTGTCCCTCCCCTAGTCCCACCTCAGAAGACCTCAGTGTGTGATGGTCCCCTCCCTGTGTCCAAGTGTTCCCATTGTTCAACACCTGCACTTGCAGTGTTTGATTTTCTGTTCTTTTGTCAGTTTGCTGAGAATGATGGTTTCTAGGTTCATCCATGTCCCTAAAAAGGACATGAACTCATCGTTTTTTATGACTGCATAGTATTCCATGGAGTATAGGTACCACATTTTCTTTGACCAGTCTATTATCGATGGGCATTTGGGTTGGTTCCAAGTCTTTGCTATTGTAAACAGTGCTTCAGTGAACGTATGTGTGTATGTGTCTTTATAATTTATAATCCTTTGGTTATATACCCAGTAATGGGATTGCTGGGTCAAATGGAATTTCTATTTCTAGGTCCTTGAGGAATCGCCACACTGTCCTCCACAATGGTTGAATTAATTTACACTCCCACCAACAGTGTAAAAGTGTTCCTATTCCTCCACATCCTCTCCAGCATCTGTTGTCTCCAGATTTTTTAATGGTCGCCTTTGTAACTGGCGTGAGATGGTATCTCAATGTAGTTTTCATTAGCATTTCTCTAATGACCAGTGATGATGAGCATTTTTTCATATGTTTGTTGGCCTTATATATGTCTTCTTTTGAAAAGTGTCTGTTCATATCCTTTGCCCAGTTTCGAATTTGTTTGTTTGTTTTTTTCTTGTAAATCTGTTTTAGTTTTTTGTAAATTCTGGATATAAGTCCTTTGTCAGATGGGAAGATTGTCAAAATTTTTTCTCATTCTGTTGGTTGCTGGTTCACTCTAATTGTTTCTTTTGCTATGCAAAAGCTCTGGAGTTTAATTAGATCTCATTTGTCTATTTTGGCTTTTGTTGTCAATGCTTTTGGTGTTTTAGTCATGAAGTCCTTGCCTATGCCTATGTCCTGAATGGTTTTGCCTAGGTGTTCTTCTAGGGTTTTTATGGTGTTAGGTCTTATGTTTCAGTCTTTATTCCACCTGGAGTTAGTTTTAGTGTAAGATGTCAGGAAGGGGTCCAGTTTCTGCTTTCTGCACATGGCTAGCCAGTTTTCCCAAGACCATTTATTAAACAGGTAATCCTTTCCGAACCATTGCGTGTTTTGGTCATGTTCGTCAAAGATCAGATGGTTGTAGATGTGTGATATTGTTTCTGAGGCCTTTGTTTTGTTCCATTGGCCTATGTCTTTGTTTTGCTACCAGTACCATGCTGTTTTGATTACTGTAGCCTTGTAGTATAGTTTGAAGTCAGGTAGTGTGATGCCTCCAGCTTTGTTCTTTTTGCTTAGGATTGTCTTGGTTGTACAGACTTTGATTTGGTTCCATATGAAGTTTAAGGTGGTTTTTTCCAGTTCTGTGAAGAGGGTGATAGGTAGCTTGATGGGGATAGCAATGAATCTATAAATTACTTTGGGCATCATGGCCATTTTCACAATATTGATTCTTCCTAATCCTGAGCATGGAATGTTTTTCCATCTGTTTGTGTCTTCTCTTATTTCCTTGAGCAGTGGTTTGTAATTCTCCTTTAAGAGGTCCTTTACATCCTTTGTGAGTTGTATTCCTGGGTATTTTATTCTCTTTGTAGCAACTGTGAATGGAAGTTCGCTCTTGATTTGGCTTTCTTTAAGTCTGTTATTGGTGTATAGGAATGCTTGTGATTTTTGCATATTGATTTTGTATCCTGAGACTTTGCTGAAGTTGCTTATCAGTTTCAGGACATTGTGGGCTGAGACGATGGGGTCTTCTAAATATACGATCATATCGTCTGCAAATAGAGACAATTTGACTTCCTCCTTTCCTAATTGAATACCCTTTATTTCTTTTTCTTGCCTGATTGCTCTGGCTGAAACTTCCAATACTATATTGAATAGGGGTGGTGAGAGAGGGCATCCTTGTCTAGTGCCAGATTTCAAAGGGAATGCTTTCAGTTTTTGCCCATTCCATATGATATTGGCCATGGGTTTGTTGTAAATAGCTTTTATTAGTTCTGTCGATACCTAGCTTATTGAGGTTTTTTAGCATAAAGGGCTGCTGATTTTTGTTGAAGGCCTTCTCTGCATCTATTGATAAAGTCATGTGGTTTTTGTCTTTGGTTCTGTTTATGTGGTGAATTACGTTTATAGACTTGTGTATGCTGAACCAGCCTTGCATCCCCCAATGAAGCCTACTTGATCGTCATGGATAAGCTTTTTGATGTGCTGTTGCAATCAGTTTGCCAGTATTTTATTGAAGATTTTTGCATCTATGTTCATCATGGATATTGGCCTGAAGTTTTCTTTTCTTGTCGAGTCTCTGCCTGGTTTTTGTATCAAGATGATGTTGGTCTCATAAAACTATTTGGGAAGGATTTCCTCTTTTTGGATTGTTTGGAATAGTTTCAGAAGGAGTGGTACCAGCTCCTCTTTGTATGTCTCATAGAATTCAGCTGTGAATTCATCTGGACCTGGGCTTTTTTTGGTTGGTAGGCTATTGATTGCTTCCTTAATTATTTTTAAACTGGTACATTATATTATTTCTTTCCCTTGTTCACTTGTCTACTTAGAACTCCTTTATATCCTCTCTGATAGTAAAATATTTCTACAAGATTGTTAACAGGGTTCAAAGTTTTTCCTTTGCCTACCCAGCCCTACTAATTTGAAATATATTTCTTATAAGTACCTTACCAATAACTTCAGAATTGAGAAGGGTGCCTGGTTAAAGGAGATCAATCATTTAAAGTCCAACTTTGTGTTCGTAAGTTCTTATGCATTCTTTGTGACTTTTTAAGATATTCTGCTAACCATAGTATTTTACTAAAAGCTGACTTTCTTAGTTTTTATATATCGTCGGACATATTTAAAGTGATTTACAAGCCTTGCAAAACAAATTGCTAAAATTAAAATCTTATAATTATTACAGCTGTGCTGTGTGTATACTTTTTTTTAAAGATAGGATTTCACTCTGTCACTGTATTTATATATGTGCTCTATATAGATAGATGTGCTATATATGCTTATATATTGCTGATGTTTAAGATAGTAATTGATGTTATTTAATAGTTTTCTCAATTAATATGCATGCCTAGGTGTGAAGTTGAAGAAAAACCAAACTCTGCCTGAATGTACTTGATATATTTCTTACAGGTTCTGAGTTCTGTTCGCACAGAATGGGACCCACTGGATGTTTGCTTTGGAGCCAAACAGTCTTATCAGGTGTTCACAGTGGAGCACTCCATCAGTGTAGACAAAGAGCCCATGGCTGACAGCTGCATCTATGAATGTGTTCAGAATAAAATCCAGTGTGTGTCTGTCACCAGAATACCACTAAAATCAAAGGCCATCAGTTGTTGCAGGAATGTTACTGAAGACAAACTGATTCTGGGCTGTGAAGATTCCTCACTAATTCTTTATGAAACTCACCGTAGAGTGACTTTCTTAGCACAGACTGAACTTTTGCCTTCATTAATAAGCTGCCACCCAAGTGGTGCCATTCTGCTAGTTGGCAGCAACCAAGGGGAGTTGCAAATTTTTGATATGGCTCTCTCCCCTATTAACATCCAGCTGTTGGCTGAAGACCGCTTACCCAGGGAGACTCTGCAATTCAATAAATTATTTGATGCTTCTAGCAATCTTATTCAAATGCAATGGATAGCTCCTCAGTTTGTTTCTCGGAAGGCGGAAGATAGTGATATCTATGATCTCCTCTTCCTCAGGTTTGAAAGAGGACCTTTGGGTGTGCTGTTGTTTAAACTAGGTAAGTTAAGGAAAGTCGTAAGTAAATTGTTTATGATAGTGACATAATTAAGGCAATAAAACTATTCTTACAAAGTAGATTTTTCTATTTGTCATCCCATAAATATGTTTGCCTTTTAAATATCCATATAGTTTCCTTTTGTGCATGATTTTCTAACTGCCAAAGGAACATTAGATATTGAAGAATTTGGAAATTGCATTAATTGTGAATCATGTTGCTTCAAAAATCCGAACTTTTACATTTGATACTCCCTAAAATAAGCTGCACTACTAAATAATTACTTAAGCAATAGATATGTGAATATTTTAAAAGGACTTACTTTGTCCATTGAAAAATTTTGTGTTGTTGAAATGGAATAATTTTTCTATAAAAATTATTTTAGATTATTGGTGTCTGTTGATTCCTATACTGGAATTGTGTGAAACAAGTGTTTTAAAATAAAAGAAAGCAGATATTTAGTTAGAATTTGCTGAAGATATTTGTATAACTTTGTTTTAGTTTCTCTTTTGGATAAAAATATTCAAAAGGATAGATATTTTAATAGATGTTGATAAGTTAATATCTATAAAATTATATATTAATGTAGCCCATTTCAACCAAGAGACTTTGTTTTTTTTAACTTTTATTTAGGTTTTTGGGTACACATTAAAGTTTGTTATATAGGTACATATGTATCATGGGGGTTTGTTGTACACATTATTTCATCACACAGATATTAAGCCCAGTACACAATAGTTATCTTTTCTGTTCCTCTCCCTCTTCTCGTCCTCCTCCCTCAACTAGACCCCAATGTTTGTTTTTTTCTTCATTGTGTTAATAAATTATTATCATTTAGCTCCCACTTTTAAGTGAGAACATGCAGTATTATTTTCTGTTTCTGCATTAGTTTGCTAAAGATAATGGCCTGCAGCTCCGTTCATGTTCCTGCAAAAGACATGATCTTGTTCTTTTTAATGGTTGCATAATAATCCACGATGTATATGTACCACATTTTCTTTATCCAATCTGTGATTGATAGACATTTAGGTTGATTCCATGTCTTGCTACTGTGAGTGGTGCTGCAGCAAACATTTGTGTGCATGTATACTTATGGCAAATGATTTATATTCCTCTGGGTATGTACCCAGTAATGGAATTCCTGGGTCAAATGGTAGTTCTGCTTTTAGCTCTTTGAGGAATTGCTATACTGCTTTCCACAGTGATTGAACTAATTTACACTCCCCCCTCACAGTGTATAAGTGTTCCCTTTTCTCCACAACCTTGCTTGTGTCTGTTATTTTTTGACTTTTTGGTAATAGCCCTTTTGACTGGTGTGTGATGATATCTCATTGTGGTTTTGATTTGCATTTCTCTAATAATCAGTGATACTGAACGTTTTTTCATATGTTTCTTTGTCTCATGTATGTCTTCTTTTGAGGAGTGTCTGTTCATGTCCTTTGCCCACTTTTATTTTTATTTTACTTTAAATTCTGGGATACATGAGCAGAATGTAGAAGTTTGTTACGTAGGTATATGTGTGCCATGGTGGTTTGTTGTACCTGTCAACCTGTCATCTAGGTTTTAAACCCTGCATGCATTAGGTGTTTGTCCTAATGCTCTTCCTCTCCTTACTCCCCCACCGCCAATAGGCCCCAGTGTGTGCTGCCCCCCTCCCTGTGCCCATCCATGTATTGTGATTGTTCAGCTTTCACTTATGAGTGAGAATATGTGATGTTTGCTTTTCTATTCCTGTGTTAGTTTGCTGAGGATGATGGCTTCCAGCTTCATCTATGCCCTGGCAAAGGCCATGAACTTATTCTTTTTTATGGCTGCATAGTATTCCATGGTGTATATGTACCACCTTTTTTTATTCAGTCTGTGATCGATGGGCATTTGGGTTGGTTGCATGTCTTCACTATTATAAATAATGTTGTAATAAACGTGTGCATGTGTCATTATAGTAGAATGATTTATATTCCTTTGGGTATATATTCAATAATGGGATTGCTGGGTAAAATGATATTTCTGGTTCTGGATCCTTTAGGAATCATCACACTGTCTTCCACAATGGTTGAACTAATTTACACTCCCACCAAAAGTGTAATTTAGTTCTATTTCTCCATAGCCTCACTAGCATCTATTGTTTCTTAACTTTTTTTTTTTTTTGAGACAGAGTCTCAATCTGTCACCCAGGCTGGAGTACAGTAGCGTGATCTGAGCTCACAGCAACCTCCGTCTCCTGGGTTCAAGCGATTCTCCTGCCTTGGACCCCCTGAGTAGCTGTGATTACAGGCATGCACCACCACACCTGGCTAAGTTTTGTATTTTTAATAGAGACAGGATTTCATCATGTTGCCTAGGCTGGTCTCCAACTCCTGGCCTGAAATGATCTGCCTGCCTTGGCCTCCCGAAGTGCTGGGATTATAGATGTGAGCCACCACACCTAGCCTCTTGACTTTTTAATAATTGCCATTGTGGCTGGTGTGAGATATATCTCATTGCGGTTTTGATTTGCATTTCTCCAATGATCAGTAATGATGAGCTTTTTTTCATATGTTTGGCCACTTAAATGTCTTCTTTTGAGAAGTGTCTGTTTATATCATTTGCCCACTTTTTGATAGGGTTGTTTTCTTCTTGTTAATTTGTTTCAGTTCCTTGTAGATTCTAGATATAAGACCTGTGTCAGATGGATAGATTGCAAAAATTTTCTCCCATTCTGTAGGTTGCATGTTCACTCTGATATAAGTTTCTTTTGCTGTGCAGAAGCTCTTTAATTTAATTAGATCCCATTTGTCAATTTTGTCTTTTGTTGCAATTGCTTTTGGTGTTTTCATGAAGTCTTTGCTCATACCTGTGTCCTAAATGGTATTACTTAGGTTTTCTTCTATGGTTTCTATGGTTTTGGGTTTTACATTTCAGTCTTTAATCCATCCTGAGTTAGTTTTTGTATAAGGAAGGGGTCCAGTTTTTATTTTCTACATATGGCTAGCCAGTTTTCCCAACACCATTTATTAAATAGGGAATCTTCTTCCCTTTTGCTTGTTTTTGTCAGGTTTGTTGAAGATCAGATGGTTGTAGATGTGCGGTGTTATTTCTGAGGTCACTGTTCTGTTCCATTTGTCTATATATCTGATTTGGTACCAGTATCATGCTGTTTTGGTTACTGTAGCCTTGTAGTATAGTTTGAAGACAGTTCCTTTTTGGTTCCTTATAGTTCCTTTTTGGTTCCATGTGAAATTTAAAGTAATTATTTCTAATTCTGTGAAGAATGTCCATGGTAGTTTCATGAGAATAGCATTGAATCCATAAATTACTTTGGCTTTGCCCACATTTTAAAGGGTTTGTTTGTTTTTCTCTTGTAAATTGTCTAAGTTCCTTATAGATGCTGGATATTGACCTTTTTCAGATGCACAGTTTGCAAATATTTTCTCCTGTTCTGTAGGTTGTCTGTTCCCTCTCTTTGTAGTTTCTTTGCTGTGTAGAAGCTCTTGTTTAACTAGATCTCACTTGTCAATTTTTGCTTTTGTTGCGATTGCTTTTGGCATCCTTGTCATGGAATTTTTGTCCATTGTCCAGGATGGTATTACCTAGCTCTCTTTCAGTGTTTCTCTACTTTTGGGCTTTACATTTAAGTCTTTATTCCATTTTGAGTTGATTTTTATGTATCAACTAAGAGACTTTAAAATATAATTTATTATGATGATTCACTTGCCTTTTGTAACTTTGCATTACCAGCTATACCCTGAAATATATGATATACTTTAGGTATTAGATTTCTACAATTTAACGTTCTTGAGAGAATCTCACTTAGGTTTAAAAAATAAATTTTAATTAATGTACAGTATGGCTACTTGAAAACATAGAAGGTAGATACATTTTAAAACCCATTATGGGATTTGGCTCTGTGGTACAAAGTTAGGTTTTTAAAGGCATTGTAGTGTTTGTTAAATAGCTTTCAGTTTACCTTGTTTTTTATGGATCTGCTTGTCTCTGAAGTTGAGTACACAAAATAAATCTAGTGAACATGACTTGATTAACCTGCAAGATATAATGCATACAGTGTGAGACCTGTGTTCTTTTCACATAATAAAAATGCAGCTAAATCTATTCGTAATGTTAATATTCAAGAAAAAAATGTTTGGAGTCTCATTTATTATGAGATAATCCAGTTATACTTTGCCCAACTACATGTTTAACAGTTGTATGTCTCCACACACAACACTAATTAAACTGGATGTTTGATGTTTCACATGTCTGTTAAAACACACACACTCATGCACTCATGCTCACATACACACACTCTCTCTCTCTGTCTCTCCCCCAGACCCCTCTCTCAATCTCTCCTTTCACCCTCTAAATTACCCATTTACCTGTCAAACAGAAGGCTTTCTGCCCATGTACACCTAGCCTTTCTTCAGCTTTCCCTTGTGGGCCTACTCACAGCAGCTTTGCAAAAAGCACAGCTTTCTCCTCCTATCTCTAGCACATTTGCCTTCTTACTAAAGTAAACAGGCTCTCAATGTAGGGATTTAGAGGGCTTCCTGCTAATTGCCAGCTTGTAAACTTAATTGGACTGTCTCCCTGGGCACTGTTCCTAAATCAATTAGGCATTGAGTTGGCTGTCACCTCTTTTTCCCAAGAAGGTCTCTTGGAAGAGAATTATCCAATAGAAGTCAAGCATTCAAATGAAAAGGTGATAACTTTTGCAACTGACATTTATCATTTAAATTTTATTTTCAATATGACTCTTAAGTTTTGTAGGATAGGGAAATTGTACAGTCTTACATGCTCTTTGGGAGATCTAAATATGTAATTTCCAAGGAATTTTTAAAGTTTTGTTTCTCATTTTTAATGTATAAGATTAATATTTATTACAAATTATTTTTCCTGGGAAGAGTAGATTCCTTGAAATAGAAGATTCCAACTAGCAGATTTTTTAAAGAAAACCCAGTTTAAAGAACAGATTTTTCTTATGATCTGCTACTAAATACATCCAAAAAAATTAATATACTTCTTGAATT